TGTCACCCAAGCTGAACTGCAATGGCACAGTCTTGGCTTACTGCAACATCCGCCTACCAGGTTCAGGTGATTCTCCTGCCTCAGCCTCCTGAGTAGCTGGGACTACAGGTGCATGCCACCATGCCTGGCTAATTTTTGTATTTTTAGTAGAGATAGGGTTTCACTATGTTGGCCAGGCTTGCCTCGAACTCCTGACTTTGTGATCCACCTGCCTCGGGCTCCCAAAGTCCTGGGATTACAGGAGTGAGCCACCATGCCCAGCCACCTTTTTACTTTTTAAAAATACTTTGACTAAAGCTGCCACATTGGAGAACTGTTATACAGGTTGATGCCTTCTCTCCGTATCTCTTGACCCCCCGGTAGTGATGCTAATAAACAGTTGAAATTGTTCAAGGCAACCCACGCACTGAAGGTGGATGTCCCACAAAGGATAGAAGGAGTTTACAAAGCTTGTAGGTAATTTACAAATTATATACTCAATCCTACATTATGGAGTGCTAACTATGATGTTTTATTTATTTTAGGAATGAAACAACAGTCCTTGCTCGACATGAAACAATCTTTAGAGCTGAAGATCTATCTGTGATTCTTAAAGCGTACGTGTTGGTAACATCCTTAACCCCTTTGCGTGCATTCATTCATTCAACTGGCACAGTTTGGAATCCACCAAGGAAAAAACGCTTCACTGTCAAGGTAAACCCTCGGTTGAAGCCATTGTTTCATACAAGTACACTAGGGTAAAGTAAAGTGAGTTGGGCTGCCATTCTCCCACCTTTATGGTTATCAAATCCCACTGAACAAAGATTGCATCTTTTTCATTGCTGCAAGAAAAGATTTTCATTTAATAGGTGCAGACTTAACAATGAACTGGAAGCAGCTTAATTCCCTAGAGATCACAAAGGCTACATTCTTTTTCCTCAATTCATCATCACAGTTCAATTCTTTGACCTACTTACTACAGCTATATAAAGTATAGCTATAGAGTATAGCTAGTTCACAGCTATACTCTGTTTTTCTTAATTTTTCACTTACTCAAGAAAAATATAGTCAGTGCAACAAATGAAAATACAATTTTGCCTTTGTGCCTTTTGCTTCACCCTTAGGAAGCATTATGCTAGTTCATTATACCAGTCAATATGGAATATTCGCTGAGCGAAAAATAAAGTTCTCAAGTGTGCCTAATATAACAAGCTATGACATAAAGGATAATAAGAAAGTTTTCAGGGAAGAACTTACTAATAATCCCAAAGAGTTTAGTTATAAAAGGTGGCCCAGGTCAACTTGGTTGAAAATGAGGTCTGCCGGGTGCGGTGGCTCACGCCTGTAATCCCAGCACTTTGGGAGGCCGAGGCGGGTGGATCACGAGGTCAAGAGATCGAGACCATCCTGGTCAACATGGTGAAACCCCGTCTCTACTA